ACTTTGCATTTTCCTTCTGCACTAAATAGTGCAAAAGGAAGATACAAGTTATGATTATACATTCGTATGACGGCTGTACACTTATGTATATATTTAAATAGTCTTCACACGTGATCACTCACATGTTCTTCCTTTTGCACTATTTAGTGCAGAAGGAAAATGCAAAGTTGGAGAAATACATAGTATGAGGGTTGGAAGATCGAATCTAGGAGAAGAACATCAATAGTTTTCGATATAAGAAACTCTCCTATATAAAAATAAATACTTCTAATCGAACCTATAGCAGAAGCTTCTACATGTGCCACAGGCAATCAATAATGAAAACCAAAAACAGGAAACTTAACAATAAAAGAAAATACCAAAAACCTTAATAATAAAATATCCAAATTTATTCAACTTATAATAAAAAACGAATTATCAACTATAATTAATATAAATAAACTAGGTCTAGAAAATAAAAAAGAATAAAATAATATTAAATACCCAGCTATCAATCGCTCTAAACTACACCCTAATAATAAAATAGAAAACATAATTAGAGTACACAAAAGCTCAATATTAAATAAAAACTAACATATTATTTACTATAAGTATTCCAACTAAGCTAATAACAAGAGCCAATACCCTAAACCAATTATTTATATAATCATAAACAATAAAAAGTAATAACAAAAAAACAAGAAATACTAAAAACCAAGAAACCAAGAAGAAGAAGGTTTAAATTAAATAAAGAAACTTGTATCTTAATTAGATTTCCCACTAATATTATAAGTGAAAATGTTTAATTTTGTATGTTTGATGAGTAAGAGTTAAATTACAATGATTCAAACATTTTATACATTTAGTTTAAACTTTGATATAGAAGCAACAGTGTTTCTTCTATATTTTATACATTTTTCAGCTAACTCTAGAATTCTTGAGGAAAACTTTTAGTGTTACTTAGATAACTAAATTTCCAACGCTTCTCATGGTTTTTCCTTAACTGTAGTAATACCCTAAGATTACATGTTTCCAGCAGCCCTGCACTCTTTAATAGATGCAAAATTTCCTAGCTAATTCTGCCAATACCAGACAGTTATTTACTCCATCCGCTGGTGCCAATTTTAATTGAAACACATTTTTTACCATCAAAGACCACCCGACATAGACAGAAAATGGGAGATTTGTGTTCCCTCATCTTCCATCATGATAACATTTTTACGCATGGGGCGACGTTAAGAAGGAATTATTAAAGTATAAACAATTCCAATTATTTAACCCCTCCAACATCATTCATACCCATAATGTTCAAGAGATATAACAAGCACACCAAGGGATGATATCGACGGAGGTGCCAATGGTGATCATATTGATTGTACATGCAACTTTCGTCCATACAAAGATCCTAGACAAACAACAAGCTGGTCCTTACAAAAAGTTTGTATCTCAACAAAAAATACACTTGCAGCAATTGGGGCGGCGGTATAGAAGTACAACTGAACACCTGGACTTTTCATGATAAAGAAACACGACATCAACAAAAACAGATTCGGAGAGCACTTGAACAATATGCAATTAATGACGTCATTACAATTTGGTTTATTCAACTACAAAAAGAACTCCATGTTTTACGAAAAACGATAACAATACCACCACCCTTAGCAACCGTAGCTCCACGAGTACCATCAACCGGACAAACAATAGCATTCTATGCTCCAGAAACCGAACCGATAACTCCAACTTCGGATAATGAATTTAATGAACCAGTAACAGTGGCAGAAAGCGAATTATCAACGTTATTACCATTAAATCAAAATTTCGCATGTGCGCTCATTTCTTTACCTGACACAGCGAAAATGGCGGTAGGGGACCGGATTTCTGGTCCCACGCCTACATCCTCATTACCACAAACAGTCAAGCAGTATGATTATGAATACCTTACAACCATTACCTCGAAGACCACAACAACAACGAACTCCGACAGCATCTCGGGTCTCTGCGTACCACCGAAAAGTGAAAAACAAAGTCTCATCTATTAAATACCATAAGAACGATTACCAATTTTCGTTAACCACAGAAATTTATCATCGATTCACCATGCCAGATATTAAAAAGATTATGGCCGATTTACGACTGAAAGCAAGAAACTTCAGCCTATCGACGCCATCAACGGTAAACAATTATGGATTAGAGTTTACTTTCAAGAACAAGTAAACGAATTCGATATCAAACTTCATGATAGACTGAGTATTTACCCGTGGCCATTATCAGAGACTATATGGACGTGATTAATCATATAAAAACATATGATCTGTTTAGCTCTTTAGTTAATATCATTTTCTTTCGTTCTTGTTTGATTTTGTTCAGGTTTGTTCGTTTGTTTG